GTCTTCAAATTCAACTTCCCCCTAAGTCCAGTCTTAGGACAGGAAAGGGGCTTGGAGATGAGCACAGCAGCTGGGCCACAGAGGCTGACAGAGCTATTGGGCTTGGTTATCACCGTGCTTCTGTAACATTTTGATTGTAGGAGAGTCTTCCACTGCCCGAGGTGCCCAGGTGCCTTGGTAATCTGCCTTGAACAGGACATGCAGGGTGCCCTGAGACAGACTAAGGAGGGATGTCTTTGGTGGGATTGCATACCACATTTAGGGTAAGAAGGTGTTGACAGGACCATTTTAAATCTGGGTAACTCTTGGGGTATTAGGGTCAGAAAGTCTTCCCATCAGTGCCCATTTTCTATTAAGTGCTGTTTCATTGCCCGGTGAGCCTAGCCCTAGTTCCCTTCAGTTTATTTCTGATGTGGCTTGTGTAACCTCCACAGGACCAGAGACGGAGGCTCTCAGAGCTGGAATTTCTGGAAGATTTTTACTGGCAGTAAGCACTTGGGGTTTTGGCCATACCTGCTCCCATGAGGGCAGCGAAGCGATTTGCTCCTTTCAACAGCAATTCAGTGTCCTTGCAGTGGCTTCAGTTTGTGACACTTGACTGATCTTTGCCCTCCTGAATTTGGTGGCCGCAGCTCCCAAACTGCACACACAGACCTCCGAGACCACCAAGGGCATGGGGTAGGCTCAGGAGCCTGCTCACCTGGCGATTCAGCCAGGGAGCCTGGGCCAGTCTTTGAGAACAACCTCACACGGCAGCCTGGAAACGGCTGTTAATTCCCAACTCTTTGAATCTCATCACCTACCAAGTGCAACACATTATCTTCCATTATGATAGAAGTAAGCAAAAAATTAATTAACCTCCACTCTCCATGAGAAATGAAGCTTTATATAGACAAAATCACGCACATTCGTGATATTTGATTACAGGCTAAGGAGACAAAAAAAAGAGAAAGTCTGAATGAAATACGCTTAAAGAGATTTTATTCAGGCAAGAGAGGACCTTCTGCTTAACATACGCAAGCTATTAGAAATTTCTCAACCAAATCATATGGAAGTGCATATACGGTACATGTTAATTCTTCTTACAGAAGCAATGATGGAAGGATCCTGGCTTCAGAATGGACTGTTTTAATTCTGCTTCAGCTCTCAATTCTGCCTTTCATTTTCCTACTGACTTTCTGAAATTCCATGGAAAGACATTGTTGTTAAACAGCAGTGAGTGTTATTCTCACAGCAGTGTACACTAATAATAATTCAGTGCGGTGTCATGGAAGGCTGTGAGCTCTTAGCTGAATGTATTTGAAAAATAAAGTTTGTTTTTTTTCCTCAGAGATCTTTACTTAAGTCAGCATGGAACTCTTGTAAAAGATAACTACCAATAAGTCACAACTACCCAAGGAACAGCCTTTTTATTTTATTTTTTTATTCGTTGCTCACCATGACAACATAATAAATGAGCCCTGAGAGACTAGAAGTGCATAACTATTTAAAATTTTGTATTTTATCTTTCATTGTATGCTTCCAGACATAACATTCATGATCTATTTTTTTTAACCCTCTTCAGTGTCTCCAAGTAAAATACTCCAATTTTCAACTGCAATATACAGTAATCAGAAATACATCTTCACCGTGATTCTAGATAACAGTTTACAAAACCAGTCTTATAGTATTTTTGTGATTCATTAATAATTACTTGCTCCCGTAAAAAGGAAGCAAAAAGCCAACACAGCTTCAACATCTGCTTTTTCAATTTTTGTTTTGAGTTCTGTTGGATGTCTCTGTATTCTTTCATACATGACTAATAGGAAAGATACAAGACTAATAGGAAACATAACTGAAACTTCACTTATGGTTGGTTTCAGTTAACAGATGGTCTTTAAACTATCCAACATAAAAGCATTCATTTTAGAAAAACTGACCCCAAAACTGCTTCATAAAATAAAAAGTATTTCAATTTTTTTTCCAGAGCTTTAGGATCTTTCAAGACACTACAGTATAAGAGGCCCCAGGGTTTAAAAAAAAAAATATATATATATATATATATATAATTCCTGACTTTAAATATCAGAGACTAAAGGCTTTACGATACGATAAGTATCAGAAGTAACATACACAGCTATACAGAAAGGTGGGCCTCCTAGACTAAGTCTGTTCTTGCTAAATTTCAAGTGCCAACATAAAATTACAGCAAAGAGATCTGCAAAATCCCTCTGCTACAGATGATTGCCATGATAGGTCAACCAAAGCCTTAGTTTTCCATACGCTAATAGAGCAGTTATGGTGGGGTCTTCTGGCTGCTGTAATAGCTGCTTCCTTCTGGATAAGTAACTGCTCTAAGTCAGCCACCAAAATAAAAATAATAATAATAATAATTTCTTGGCAATATGCTTTCGGGGCATATGAACTAGAGTGATCATAATCTGAGTCCTATTTCCAAACTATTTAATGTAGCATACAGTGAGTGAAGAATTATCCCACGCACACCTTGCACAGTTGAAGACTCTTTAGGATCGATAGGAAGGCTTGGCAAGATTTGTGCTGCTCCACGTTTCTCAGTCCAAAAGCACCACTGTACGTCTGGCTCGTTTTAATACTCATCTACAAATCTGCTGCTGACCACGGTCAAAGGAAGTCGAGTAGGGCAGACACACCTTGTGCTTGTGCTCGGTGCTTTTGCTCAGACAGCAGCACCATAGAGAGCAACGTGGTGACTTTGCTACAAGAGCAGTCTGCTTACAACATGGCTTTTCTTAAAAGCCTATCTGCAAAAGAAACCAAGAATAAAACCAAAGAAACAGCTATTGTCCAAAATGCCTTGCAAGCCCATCCATCATGCTTTGCATAACTTGGGGACAAACGGGGACTACTGCAGCACTGCTGTTGCTGTAAGGGCAGCAGAGCGTGGTGCCAATTTAAATATAAACAAGGTTTAATGCCTCTGTCTTTTTCAGACTCACTCTTAGATGTGTTCTGACAGCAGCCCAAGTGAAGCCAACACATCAGAAGGACCTCCACTTTGTTTTAGGTCAAGAATTAAGGATTATTTTATTCAAAGTTATATTAACAAGTACTTTACGTAGGTCTGTGCTGCTACTCGCATTTTGAGGCTGCCCATGCAGCAACACTGGACAGCTGCGCATCGCTGGACTTCGCCGATTGTCCGATTCCTCTTTCCCTGGAAGAGACTGAATCACAGAATCACAGAATCTCTAGGTTGGAAGAGACCTCAAGATCATCGAGTCCAACCTCTGACCTAACACTAACAGTCCCCACTAAACCATATCCCTAAGTTCTACATCTAAACGTCTTTTGAAGACTTCCAGGGATGGTGACTCAACCACCTCCCTGGGCAGCCTGTTCCAATGTCTAACAACCCTTTCAGTAAAGAAATTCTTCCTAACATCTAACCTAAAACTCCCCTGGTGCAACTTTAGCCCATTCCCCCTCGTCCTGTCACCAGGCAACACTGAAGGTGGCAGCACTTTCATGGAACAAACAGAATTGACTTTTATATACGTATCTGTGTACATACACACACACGTCTGGACACAGTTTACTTATGGCCAGATTCTGAGCCCCTTGCTCACTTGCAATAGGTATTTACTCTTGCAAGGTGTCCCACACAGCTCTGTCTGCTAGAGGGTCCATACAAGCTATCAATATTTTGGTCTAGACAGGGAAATAATTTTTGCTATCTGCTCACTTTAAAGAACAGCCGTCAAAAAGTCACTCAGACACAAGTTTAGAAACAGATGAAGCAACTGAAGCACAACTGAAGCAAAATAGCAATATGCCCTAAAAGCATGGCTCTAAATTTTAATTTATTTCCTAATCAGAATTCCTTCAGCTTTGCAGAGGTATATGATCACTTAAAAAAAAAAAAAAAAAAAAAAAACCTCTACTTTTAAAAGTGCTATGAAAAAGAAATCATACAAAAATTAGCATTGGAGAAAGAGTTAGCAAATAAACCAAAGTTGAAAGTAAGTTTCTTTCCTTCAGAAAGTCTGTTTTTCCAGATGCATCATCGGCATCTGCATGTTAGCAATTTTTCATTATTTATAAATGGAGTATTACAGGAACACAGCCAAACTACAAGCCAAGAAGTCCAACACACACATTTTTAAAAATAGGGAATGTGTCTTGGTTATAGAACAAAAGAACTCATTTTATCACTTGGCTTTACCGCTTGAGAAAATGGCTCCTGGTGTGCTGAACTCCATGATAAATGTGCCCCCTCTAGATCTTTATTGCCCTTGTAAATCAAAGGACTGACAGCAGTTAATAAGAAAGCTTTTGAGTGGTTTTGAAGTTTTGCTTTGTACAAATAAAATCTCATATTAAAGAATTTGCTAGTCCTCAAGGTGTGGAAAAATGAGTATGACTGGAACCTGTTGTGCTTTTTTTTTTTTAAACTGTTTCCACTGTTTTCAAAAAAAAATCATTTTGTAGCAGAAGCAGCAGAATACAATAAGTAATTTGTGCTCTATTGAAATACAAAAATTAGAGTTGGTGATTTAGTTATTAACTTTGGCATTTCTATATCCTCTGATTTCTGGATGGAACAACAAAATCTTAAGTATAGAGTGTAAAACAGGAAGAGTTTTTTCCAAAGCTTCATATTAGATGTTGACAGCTCTTCTACGAGCCGTCCTTACCTGAAGAAAGGGCCTATTCTACATCCAAAAATTATTGGTCAAAATTCCACTACGATACTGGTTTTGGAAGGATAAGGATCATTTCAGTTACCAGCTAACCCACAGGTATGGACAGAATTTTTTTAATTCACTGACAACTGCAGTGCTTACAGATGGCCAAATTATGGTTAAGTAGCATGAGTTTTACAAATCTACCTTTTGGTCAAGCAACAGTACTTTACAGGGAAACAAATAAATGACTACAGCACAAATATTTAAATATCAGATTGCAAAGAAATGAACAGAACAATTTATAATTACAGATTTGAAAGTTTACTTTAAGAAATTATGTTCTAGAACACAGACTTGGAAAAAAAATGTTTATTGCTCCAATTTAGAGGTCTTCAGAAGCAAACTGATACATATTTTGAAGTTTGGGTAAGTACATTCTTCATGGCATCATGCATTGAGCATACAGCATCAGCATTTTACTGAATTACGGTTTAACCAAAACAAATTAGAACTAATGTTGTGGTGGCTTTGTTTTCCTTCCATGACTTGCATTATCCCTGTTCAATTCCAGGCAGCATCATTCTTCCTAAAACAGTTAAAGGCACAGTCTGGTCGAGGAAATCTTAACAGGAAGCTGCAGTTATTTGGACAAAGCTACACTTACTTATAGCAAAATAAATATTTCCTGTTTGAACCCGTAGCATAAAGGTATTGTGACAAACTATGGACAGTTCTAAAGAAAGCTTCGCTCTTCCCTAGTGGATTTTTAACACATTTTAAAAGGCATTTCAATGAAAACATATTCTAGTCTTTTTAAATACATTTCCCCCTTCTTCACCTATGTAGAAAAAATAAAGACTTTATTTAAAAATAAAGAAAAATAGTATTAAGGGAACACGTTAGCAAGTGTCATTTAGGATTAGGATCCAAAGCATCAGGCATCAATACGTCCCAGCTGCGTGGATCTGTTGCAGCCACAGTCCCACGGATGTCACTTATCACTAGCAGGCACTGGAGAGCTACAGAGAAAAAGCAAATCAGGCTGGAGCATTTCTGCCTTCCACAGGACTTGCCCTCCTCCCGCCCGCAGCCCACCCTCTTTTTGCTGACAACTTCCCTCACACACTCTGCCCTTTAGGTGGGTAGAGAAGTGGGTCCCTGGGAGAGGCTCCGGGGCACAGGTAACCAAACCCTTCCCAAGGAGAGGCTACCGATCGACAAAGAGCAGCATCTTGTCTTCTCAGACACGATGGAAAAATACACAAAGCAGGCGGTAAGTTGGGAGGGCGCAGGCTATTAAGCAGTCATCCAAGGCTCCATTCACGTGCTCGATGAACTGAGGTTGTTAACTGCAGCATGCTGGTGTTTTCATTTAAAGCACTGTTACGTTTCTAACTCTCACAGCTGGAAAGAACACCTAGAAACACAAACTGAACGTACTCAGTAAACGTATGCCTTCCCTGGTCTATACACAATCAGATGCTTCAGTGATTCCACTGGCAGAATTATCTTTGTTTGTTCCCCCACCACCACTATTACAAATTCACACTGCTCCCCTTCACCAATACTGCCAGATTGAAAGGAGAAAGTGAGGGACACAACCATTAAGTGTCCCTCCGCCACGTTCCTGTGGTCTTGTAGGCCAGTAGTAGTTAAATTAGAAAGCAGCTGGCAAGCAGAGACTCTGTAATGCCATGGCTGATGGCTGCCCAGAGAACGTCACTAGTCTAACAAGCACCTAGGCATGAACATGACACAGGACATTTTATAGAAATAGAAAGCAAGTTTCTGAAACATCTAAACACTTTGCAGTTAAAAAACAAATACCAATTCCTGATGGAAGGTCCAACATTCCTGGTCCCCAGGGTTGGAAAAGAGGCCAGGACATGACAAAAGGCATAGAAAAGACTGAGGATCTCAGCACCAACAGTTTTCATCCTGCTAGTGACACAGCAGCTGACAGCAGCAGAGCTTGGTTTGGAAAAGCCTACAGAGGCATCGTTCTGTGTGACAGTAAGAACTTGAGCAGAGTTAACAACAACTAACAAATTAAAAGGAAGAGAATTAGGGCAAAAAGTGAATTCCGAATGAAGTGAATTCAGAACAGAGTTGCAGGTCATGCCGTTCAAGACAGTGTGCGATTTTCTGCTGATGAACTTTCTTTCAAAATGCACTGACACTAATGGAACCGATAATGGGATGGCGAGCCAAAACACAGCAGAGGTCTCCCCCACAGACAGCACAATGCATCTGGGACGGTGACTTCCCCCTTGAGGTTATCAAGGCCATTATTCAAGGCAGACCAGAGGTCAGTTTAGCATTAAAAGTCAAATTCATGATTACGCAGCTGTTTTATGACAATTTATTCTTCTAATTTTTCAATTCAGAGTATTGTTCTTAAACCTCTGAAAAGTTGTCCATACCCTAAAAAAAAATAAAAATAAAGGAAAAGAAAGGAGAAGAGAAGTAAAGCCCAACAACTAACAACTGAATCATTTGTTCCGGAGGGGAGGAACCTCTCCGCTCCAGGTCAGTCGCCAGGTGCTCGCTTCCAGGAGAACGTCTCTAAACTTTGAACTTCAGCTCAGCAATCATGAGCCAAATCATAAATAAGTATTGATGTTTGCCACTCTACAGTTAAATTACATCAGGCATCAATGCAATCAACTCATTAGCCGTTTTTTATTGAGCACCAACATTCATTACTTACTTTTCAATTCTTTGATTAAGCAACATATTGCCTGTATTCCCAGTCTACATCTACCAGCTGATTAGCTCAATAATACTGATAATCTTCTCAAGTCAAAAGAGCTGGGAAGGGAAGTAACTGAAATCCCTATGAGCAGACTCAATTTACTCCTTTTGTGTATAACATCAATACACTAAACTACCAGCAATACAATCCAGCAAATGAAACTTCAAATGCACTAAGTTAGAGAGTAATTTTAACAAAAAGTCACAGCAGGTCATTAAAATGCCCCTTAATTGTCTCTAGATCATACTCCGTTATCCTTCAACAACCTTCCTGGCATGCTGAGATTTTAAATCTCTTCTGACTGATGTAAGACCCAGGAACAGAATTGAAGCGTGATTGTCACATACGGAGTCTGAATGCCAAAGGTCAGAACAGCTTACTGGTATGCTGGCCCGCTGCTCCAAATTTTATATCTTTTCTGTCCCTCGGTTATTGCCTGACATGATTTAACAACTGTAATTCCTTATTTAACGATGTCAAAGGTTTTTAGGAAATTGACTGTATTTCACCAACGATATATTTCTTCTTGATTACAGAGTGGTTAAAATGATTTTAAACCAAGACAGCAAAATAAAGCAGTAATAAAATCAATAAAAGGTGCTTAAAACATTCCTTCTATTAGGTAATGGCATTTAAAATATCCGTAGCTTGTAATGGCACTTAGGATATGCCCAAAAATCAATGAGCTAAATTACTTATTGAACTAGTTAATTTGAACATTGAGTTTTATATGTATATTGATAAAACAAGCTACAAGAACGCCGCCTAGCTTTCAATTCCACGGTCAGACGTCTCCCTCTGCTGGAAGGAGCTCCTCAAAGCACCGCCGGATTTGTATTTTTCAGACAAAACCGGCGCTAGAGGACGCAACGCCTGAAAGAGGCCACAAGAGGCCTCAGCTTCGGCCCCAGTGCGAGTGAAATCGCGATAGTCGCAGCTGCGAGGTGTCGGGATGCGGGACAGCAGCACAGAGCCTGGGGCCTCACCCGGCACTGCCACATTGCTCACACCTCAAAAAACGTGTCCTATGGGGAAAGCGTGGAAAGAAGGAATGTGGTGATTTTAAAGCAGTGAGGCGATAAGCACTCTGCCGGCACTTTTTGTGTTAATATCCCCGCGCTGGGTTGGGGAGCAGCCGTGAGGTACCACTGACAAGCTTTGTGCCTGCTGGCTTTGAGTGTGAGCTGCGTCTCTTTTAGGAAACACTATACTTCAGAGAGGAAAATGTTTATTTAAAAAAAGCCTGGGGGCTGGTGTTGCCTACAGAGTACAACACAAGGGCTAGAGGCGACCCCCAGCAGCCCCCCGCCCGCCCCCACAGCGGCCGGGGCGCCGCGTCCCGACTGCCCCAAGATGGCGCCGCGCCGCCGCCGGCCCGGCCGCACCTTCCCAAGATGGCGGCGGGGCGCGGCCCGCCTCCCCGCGACCTCCCCAAGATGGCGGCGGCCGCCCGCCGCCCCGTCGCAGATGGCGGCCGAGGCCCCGCCCGGGCGCGGGGCAGGCTGGGAGCGGAGCCGCGCGGCGGGGAGCGGGGCCTGCGGCGGGCGGGGCGCGGAGCGGGGCCGGGGCCGGGGCCGGGGCCGGGCGGGCGGCGGGCGCCATGCCGGAGCTGGCGGTGGAGCGGGTGGTCGTGCACCCGCTGGTGCTGCTCAGCGTCGTCGATCACTTCAACAGGTGGGGCCGGCCGCCGGGGCCGCCGCCGCGCTGAGTCACGGGCCCGGCCCGCGCCGCGCCGACGGGCACCGGGCACCGGGGGGAGGGGGAACGGGAAGGGAGCGGGGGGGGAGCGGGGACGGGGACCGGGGGCGGGTGGGCCCCGATCGGCCGGAGCCGGGCCCGGCGGCGGGATCGCGGCCTGTGGCGGCCGCCGGGCCCGGGGGAGGCGGCGCGGGCCGGGCCGGGCCGGGGCTGGGGGGGGGCTGCGGAGCCCAGGGCCGCGTCCCGGAGCTGCCCGCGGGGCTGAGCGCGGCCCTGAGGCCCCAGCTGCCCCCTCCCGGCCCCGGGGCAGCTCCTGGGCGCCTCCCGGGCGGCCCCAGCGCTGATGGGCAGCGCGGGGAGCAGCTCGCGGTGCCCCCGAGCCCCCCGGGCCCTGCCCCGTGACACAGCACCGCGGCCTGCCCCGTGTCACTGCGGCACCGGGTTTGGCTCTCAGTGCACCCGGGCAGCTTTTTTTAACGTAAATCAGCGGTCGGTGGCCATCCAGGCCGCCCTTTGTGCCGGCCCGCCCGCGCTGGGAGGTTTGCACGACTGGGGGGCAGCGGCTGCCCCGCTGTTACCTTCTCCCCGAGGGGCTCGGTGCCGGGGCTCACCGCTTTCTCCATTCAGGATAGGAAAAGTTGGAAACCAGAAGCGAGTCGTCGGCGTGCTGCTGGGCTCGTGGCAGAAGAAAATCCTGGATGTGTCCAACAGTTTCGCAGGTGAGTTTGGGTGTCCCACCATATTAGAACCTACCCAGTTGCTCAATCAGGTGCATCACGTACTTTTTTCTTACGCCACCCTGACAGGCCACAGATTCTCTCCACCTAAAAGCAGCCTATATCAAACAAAAAAATGCTAACTGCCAGCTGTCAAAAATACTGCTACTCTAGCCTTTCTCATCCCACATCTTCCCTGTAACGTTGTGCCATGTGCAGTGTTTCAGCAGCAGGTGTAAACCTTTTTTAAAACGCTGGCAAATGTTTTGGTGCATTGGACTGGCTGACCTCTGCTGAGTGATCATGTCCCAGCTTGCAGAACAAATCACAGCCCTGAGTGCTGATGTGGCTGTTTCCTGCTTACGTAAAGATGTAATGTGTACTTCAGCTTTAATTCTTTTCCTCAGGTTTTGTCCAGTTACAGCACTTGTTCTTTCTTCAAGCTGTTATTAATAGTGTTGAAACAGTTTCCTCTTAAATACTTATATGTGATAGTAACAGTAGTTCTTGAATCCATGGCTTTCACTAACCCATTTGTGTTAGTTACATCATTTCCTTCCCAGTGGGACCACTCTATGACAAGGCAAAAATATCCCAGTTTACATACGCGGTTTTTCAGTTTGTATTGAGTTCTTCTCCCAAATGGGGACTTTTTTTTTTGCCAATTTTTTGAAGGCTATTTTTTCCAGTTGAGTTGAAAAAAGTTGAAGAAGTTGTTTTGTTGGTTTTGTTTTGTTTTGTTTTTTACTTTTGACAGCCTTTCAACTATGAAGCTTTAATATTCTTGTAAATTGTAGGGCTGAAACAGCCTGTTCTCAAAATTGAGCTTGTGTCCCTGTGTACATGCTGACTGATGAAATAACGAGCCCTGTACTCAAGGGTAAACAGTCCTTACTTAAAGTGCCTCTTTGGATTCTAGTCGTCCATGAAAGCACTGATTAATTCTGCACTGAAAATTAATTTTTCTCTGAGTAGATTTCTGTTGATCAACAAGCTACAAAGTCTACAGGGATCCTCAGTTTATCATATCAAATGTCTGTGCACAGCGAGTTACTTTTGTGTAAGGGAGGATTTCTCTCTGATGTTTTGATGTTCTCAACTGATGATAACCTTCAAAATGTTTTGCATTTTATTTTTCTGTTCTAGAACTGTTAGGAAAGAGAACTGACCAGCGCCAAAATTTATCTCCTGCAGTGTAACGTTGCAGAGCATTTGAAACTATTTAAGATCCGATCTCCCTTAGCAGCCAAAGCTATCCTAAAACATGCAGGTTCTATAAATACTTCTGGTCTAGAAGGTGGATTCTTAAATACTGATACTTTGTTTTATTCGCAGTTCCTTTTGATGAGGACGACAAGGATGATACCGTGTGGTTCCTAGATCATGACTATCTGGAGAACATGTATGGAATGTTTAAAAAGGTCAACGGTAAGTTTAGATTGTCTTGCAGTCATGGATACGCTCCTGGAAACTTCAAAATCTTTGTCTGCCTCAGAAAGTGGATTCATAGCTAAGTAGAAAATTATTTGCTCATGTAAGAAGCTGCTCCGTACTAATTCCTTGCATGGCTTCACTTTTGCTAATGCTTTTCCATGGATTAATTTGTGCAAGTAGTTTGTGTTCTTAACACATTTATTTATACCTTGTTATTTTTCCCAAGTAACTCTTCTATACAGATGTGCCCTGAAATTGCTTCTTATGAATGTAAATATTACAAACACATATTTCAAGTAATAATTCTTTTATTCCTTACTACCGTTTTAAAAACTGTCTTCGCTACTTGGTTTGAGGCTTTAGGGCTGAATGTCCATTCATAACTTCAATTCCCATTAATTTTTTTAGCCCTAGGAACAGTTGGCATTCTCGTGGAACAGTTTATATTTCTAGAATTTTTACATTCTTAGATGTCAGAGTTTCAAGCTGACAGATCCCAGCATCTGCAAAATTAGTACATGATATGAAATAGTCTAGTTATGAACCTAGGAGTAAAGTAATTGATGCAAACTAAGATTAGTAAGATGTCTTTGTCACTGGTCATGTCATTGTCTTGCCTGCTCAGATTCATTTTTTCCCTGCTTTACACTCGTCTTCTGCATGCATCAGATTTTCACCCCTGATTCAGTCTCCACCTAAATCTTTCTGTTGTCTTACCACACAATTCTGATTTAGAATCCTTTCTGTTTTTTCTCAGCTAGAGAAAGAATAGTTGGTTGGTACCACACAGGCCCTAAACTACACAAGAATGACATCGCCATCAATGAACTGATGAAAAGATACTGTCCTAACTCTGTAAGTGCTGCACTTTCTGTTTGTTTTTTCACTTGCTCTTCCTGAATGGGAGACCTGGGAACCCCTGGCCCCTACCTTTGTTATGGGTGATACAGCTTGTTAAAAACTCACCTCAGAGTCTTTTGAAACATCTGTAGATGTCTGGAGACAACACCTGAACAGCCAGCATACCATTGTTAGGGAATGAAGAGCTGACTTGGGTATTTTTTTCTAGTCCTTGAGTAAAACTTGGGTTTCTGAAATGTTTGCTTTTTTGCTTTTTTTTCCATAAGGTGTTGGTGATTATTGATGTGAAACCTAAGGACTTGGGGCTGCCCACAGAAGCTTATATTTCAGTTGAAGAAGTTCACGATGTGAGTATTCAATGTTTCCATTAAAAGATGAGTGTTAGTTTCCCGGGTTTTCTGAAGGATGCACATCCCTGTGACTGGCAGCCAAAATCTGCTGAAACCAGAGTTTAATCCCAGCAGTGGTGTGAGCCTTTCTAACTCAAGTTTTCATCCACCAATGCACTTGGAAGAAAAGCTTTGTGTTACAGTTTGACCTCAGGAATTCCACAGTTTCAGCTTTCTGTATGATTTAGATGCTTCTTACCTGTTTCTGTCACTTCCATGGCCACGGTCACTGATTGGAACCCTTATAACTAGTCACTTCTGCACGTATGTTTGCAGAAGTATTCTGAGTACTTGTGTGCTTATTCATTTGTTCACCAGCCAGTGTTGAACAGGCAGGTCAGGCATGAGCAAAACTAAGTAATCACTTGCAGCACTCTGCACCCAGGTGATGTACAGTAGTAAATCAGCTTCAGCTTTTCATTTCCAAATGTTTGATTTAAATTACATTCTGAACATATATAAAGTTTGATCCTCTCGCCTTTCTGAGGCCCTCACTAGAGAGAGAAAGCTGTTTCCAGTATTACAGGTCATATATCTGCGGAATTTGTTCTTAGTTATGTGAATTCACAGTGGTCTCAGTAGTGCTTTCTGTTTACAGCTGTATACTGGTCTGGGTAATGACTTTGAAAACAGACTGGTAAAACTCATTCTCAGTAGTTCAGGTGATGGCTCTCTTAAACATCTTCCTTAATCTCAGTTGTGTAGATTTTAATTTGAATTAGATTGATTCACATTAGTATTGTTTTCTAGAATTGCATACTTCTAACCAGTGACAGCCAGGATGACAAAAGGTGTCCTAAAGTGTAATAAGGTTATATTGGGAAAGAAAGAAATGAGGATATTTAGTGAGATTTTCCATTTTACCCACTAGTAGACCAATAGACAAATAAAGTACATTAATTGAAAATTGCACAGAGCACAATAAGAAATTGCTAGCATTTCTGGACTTGTGGCAGAAATACTAATTAAAACAAGAAAAAGGCAGCTTTTCCTCTCTGACTATATGTGGACTATATGTAACTACTTTGCTAAATTCATTAGTACAGTTTCTTATACTCTATCTGAAACTGTGTATTTTTAAAAGGCATTGTGATTCACTTACAAACTTCTCCCCTTAGCTGTGTACTTCAGTCCCACGTTGTTTTGCCCTAATTTGACCCATTGCTTCTTCCTGATGCTGTCGTGCAAACAGGCCTCAGTTAATCTTACGCTTAACGTTGTTCACGTTGCCCCTGTTCACTTGAGACACCTGTACTGGCTGGTCTGTGAGTGTCTTTGTGCCTGTAGCCAGCTGTGTGCCCAGTCTAACCCTGTCCCTTGTGTTCGTGCCCCTCCAAGGATGGCACTCCAACCTCCAAGACGTTTGAGCACGTGACCAGTGAGATCGGAGCGGAGGAGGCAGAGGAAGTTGGTGTTGAACACTTGTTACGGTAAACACCTTTAAAATTAAAACTTTCTCAGGCGACTTGCCCAGGGGAAAACAGGGTCCATCTGGCATCTCCCGGTGCCAGCTTCCTGGAGGAAACGCAGAGCTTGTTAAACACGCTGCTCAAGTTCCAAGAGCGTATTCATTTAGCAGTCTTGCTTGGCACGTTCACTCATTGCTCGTGAAATGTGTATCTGCCCACTTAAACTCCATCAGATGATGAAAACTACGTAGTCATTGTATCAAAGCTTTGGAATATTGTGGTTTGGGACTGTCTCCAGCCACAGCATACCTCACAGGAGGACTGGACGGGTGCATGGCAGGTTTATCTCTAGCTGACGAATTGGCAAAGCTCGCCAGTCATCAAGAGAGCAGTCACCCAATCCAAGCTGTTCAACTTCTCAAGTGTCAGAAATTCTGATGTTTTATTTCTTAATATCCCTCTAAGTGGTGTTATTAATATTATTCCAAATAGAACATTTGTGCACCACAGGATACAACAGTGACCTATTTTAGATACACTTTCTAATGTAAATCAGTTTGTTCTCATTCTTTGACTTAAAGCATTCGGTTTAATTGTCCTTTATCTGGGCTTGAAAGTGCTCTTCTTTCTAAGCTGGAACGACCTCTCAGTGACTATGCATAGCCTGGTAACGAGCATGCAGTGTAACTTTCTGATGCTGAGGCTTTGTTATGTGTGTTTCAGAGATATCAAGGATACCACGGTGGGCACCCTGTCCCAGCGGATCACGAATCAGGTCCATGGCTTGAAGGGACTGAACTCCAAGCTTCTGGACATCAGGAGCTACTTAGAGAAAGTAGCCATGGGCAAACTACCCATCAATCACCAGATCATTTACCATCTTCAGGATGTCTTCAACCTGCTTCCAGATGTCAACCTGCAGGAGTTTGTCAAGGCCTTTTATCTGAAGACCAATGACCAGATGGTGGTAGTTTACCTGGCTTCTCTTATTCGTTCGGTGGTTGCCCTGCACAACCTCATTAACAACAAGATTGCCAACAGGGATGCAGAGAAGAAAGAAGGACAGGAAAAAGAAGAAAGTAAAAAAGAGAGGAAAGATGAGAAGGAGAAAGACAAAGAGAAGAGCGATGTCAAGAAAGAGGAGAAAAAAGACAAAAAGTAAAATGTGTAGTTTTTTTATTTGTAAATTAAAA